AGTACCCCCACTTTTCTAAGAGAAAGATAATAAATTTTTTAAAATTATTTTCTTCTCTCTTTCCCCCTTTTCCCTCATTCCTCACTTCCTACTTAGCTCCTTAGAAATGCAGTTAGAAGCTCTACCTTCCCTTCACCAAACACTCCCGACAAGGCAAGCTTATCTATGTGCTTACTTAGAAGCTCCAGAGCCTGAGCTACCTTCCACCAGGAGCTTGCGTCCAGAGATAACAAATTGCAACCTGAAGTATGCCCGCTCCAAAACTCTCTCCGACCTGGAGAGTATCTCAAGACAACGGCCACCTCATAACCTAGCTCTGCTGGTGATGGTCCTAGTTCAACTCCCAGTAGCTAAGGCACCAAAGGGAGTCACGGAGACCCCCACCTGCTTGCTCACTCCCCTGCATGCCACTCACACCAAGAATTCCTTTAAAGGACCTGCTTTCTGCACTAAAGCAAAGTGGTACCCTTAAAGGCAAGAGCCTGTACCTCTTCCTCTAAGCTTCAGAATAAAGTCACTTTCTTCATACCAGACCTCGCGCTTGTTCATTGGACTCTAAAGTGGCGAGTGACTGAATCTGCACTTCAGTTACGCCCCTGCTGTTTCCTCAACCTTCATGTCAGCCCTCATCCTGCTTCCCTTCCACTCTTAGCCTCCTTGACCCCAGGATTCACCAGACGCTGTCATAAAGCACTTTCTGTCTTCTACTTAGCTGGCAGTTCTGGAGCCACAGGCTTGACTCTGGGAAATAGGACCAGATCCCTGGCCACTCCCAAAAGTATATGGTTGGGGCCAGTGGATTGTTTAAAACACTCTGTCCCCTGCCCAGTCCTGCACAAAGCCTGGGTCAGGTATGTAGCAGGAGCCGCAGGTAAGGGCTGTACCCCCAAGAGAGACAGGAGATCAGATTCCCCACAGGCCCTAAGAGCTGCATTTCGAGGTTCCTGGTTCTGATTCCAAAACCAGTTTAACCTCTTCTTCAGCTGAGCCTGAGAACTTTTGGGACTCATTCAGTGCAGAGGAACTCATTGAGGGGACCCCAGCATTAGACTCCAAGGGTCTGTGGCTGTTTGGGGAGCTATATTCTTATCTAGTCAGCAGCATTCTGCAAGGAGGCACATGGGGGTCAGACTGGACGAACATCTGCAGGCTGGGTTTTCCCCATGAAAAGAGAGACTTAAAGAAGCAAGAAAATACTTGAAGATAAAATCCTTCTATACTAGATCCTTACTTAGAGAAGAGTCCCAAAAGCATCCCCTTAATTGGTATTGAATGAAAGGAACCTGTGACTTCCTTACCATTTGTTTTAGACCCTAACAAAAAGCTAACCTATTTTTGTGGGTCCTTTGTAAACTCCCCACTCTTACGGCACCTTTGAGACACCAAGTGTTTTTACCTCCATGACTACGTTTGCTCCTCACGATGACTCATTTTACAGATAAGGGGCTGAGGCTCAGAGTAAGGCAGCACTTACCCAGAGCCACACGGTGACCTAGCCCAGTACAAACCCCACTCTGACTGCAAACCCTGGGCCTTGCCTCTGCCACTCCAAGCTACGCCGTATCCCTCAAGTCTACGAAGGGGCTGAAGTGCCTGTGACAGGACCAGCATGGGAGCGGGAAGAACTAGGAGACCTGTGCCCTAGCCCTGATCCAAGTGACCCTAAGGAGGCCACATCTCTTTTCCAGCCTCAGCTATTTCTCCTCTGAGTCTTAACTTCCAGGGATTTTAGTTCTTGGTTCTCCCGAGGAGGACTGGCCCCTGTGTGGGCTCCCATGGGACTCCATTTCCCCCACTGCTGCCTGCCTAATGACCTGCCCACAGCACAGAGTGAGGACAGGCAATAGGAAACTCCTCCCACAGCACAATGGGTCCTGGGAGGGTGGTCACAGTTAAAGCTTGGATAGAGAAAGAGGCTGGGGCAATTCATTCTTATGAGTTTTTCTGATTTCCACTTAGCTGGGCACTCAGGTCCTCATTTCCATGGATAATGAGAAGCTGGCCACATGCCACTGAAAACAGTCCCAAACCTGAAATGACCTAAAGGTTCACAAACGAGGAGATGATTGTCAAAATCTTGGTACTGAGCGTTAAATGTATGGTTACAAAAGATTCTTCTGGAGATGCAGACATGGCAACCACGCTTTGATATAAACTGAAGTAAAACAAATCAGACTGCAAAACTGCATGCGTGGAAATCTCAGCTCTTTAAAATAATACTCAAAGAGAATAGGAAATACGCCAAAATGATAATCGTGGTTCCTGCAGAAGTTGTATTTTTTTTTTCAAAAACCAGGAGGAAAACATTTTTTAATTGGCAGTAATAGTTTCAACTTTCTCTATCAATATTTTTCTTTTTCAATTTTTAACCCAACACATATACATCTGATTCTATCAATATTTTTTTATTTAAGTACAGCGTCCTTGGCAAACACCAAGCCTCCCACCACCATTGCAAGGAAAGAAAGTGACAGTGTTCCAATGTTGGCTTTAGAAAAAGACATACCAAGCTATGGTAATGACCCCAGACCCCTCAGGATTATCAAAAATGCCCCCACAGATGCTGCAGCTCAATGTTCTTTTCTTCTTTTTTTCTTTTTCAAAAAGACAATGATTCTAGGCTTTTAGTTTTATATTTCTAGCCCAGAGTTTCCCAACATATGTACCTTGGATCAATAACAGGTTGGTAGTGGGGTACTACTGAATAAGGATACCGCATTCCAACAAGCTGGGCAAGTTCACATTTCAATGTAATGAATTAAAAGAAGATACTCTATGAACAGAGCCTCAAAGAGATATAGCATATGATATATGCAATATCATATCATGAGAAATGATATAGCATGTATCATTTCTCAAAAACTAGTTTAGGACTATCTCAAGGAATGACTATTCTATGGAGATAGGGATATCTTGGGAAGCGTAGTTTTGAGCCCCAGCTTCCACCCCTCCCATCCCCCCACCTCACCCCGTTCTCTCAGCCTTCTCGCCCTGTGGTTCTCAGCCCTGGCAGCAAACTGGGATCACTTGCAGAGCCTGAAAACATCTTTTGGTCTGGGTGCCATCTGGATTTGGGCTGGCGAGGGGGACAGCCCGAGTCAGGAAGCTAAGACTCTTCCTCATACCTTTTTAGTTGTTCATGCTAAGGATAGCTCAACACTAGGATTGAGATCCAATCTAAAAATTACTCACACATCACCCAGTTTTGGAGCTAAATGGCACCTTGGATAACGTCTAGTCCAATCTCTCATTTTACAGAAGAGGAAACTATGGTCCCCAAGGGATTCCTAGCCCCCTGTCTCTTCCCATGCTGCTTCTAGCCAGTGCCAGGCTGCCCTGTGGTCTCTGGACCTCAGGACCCTTCATTCAGAGGGAGAAGCAAAGGAGAGCCTTCAGATCTCCGAGGCCATTTCACTGCCAGAGGATGCCCATCAGGCCCCTCTCTCCGCAAGTGAACTAGGACACAGTAAAATGTTGACACAAGTCCTCCTCCCAACACAATACCAAAACCCAGAGCCAGAGACGTGAAGCCGGGAAGCTGCGCTGACTCACAGAACGGGAAGCTTGTGCTGGCAGTGGGGCAAACACACCAGTGTTCCCCGAGGCGGCCTGAGCAGTAGGCAGGTACCATCTCTCCTCCGGGCACTCTGCTTCAGCCACAGACCACAGAACCTCTGCCACAGCTGCCTTTGAAGCCAGGAGACTCCAGCACACTGCTAAGCCCCTCCGAGTGGATGGCTGTGGCCTCCGTTCTTCTGGCAACACTCTTGCTCCTAAACAGGGAATCTGTAATAGGATATCTGCACGCTTTTCAGTTTCACATCCTACACCCCCAATCAATCCCCCTTTTGAAGCTTAAGATTCCACTATTTCCTTCTTTTAGCAGCTTTGAGAAAAAGCCTGAAGCTGGATAGATGTTGGGAGGGTGAAAGATACACACACCCCTAGCCTCAAAAGTACCCTTCCCTCAGGGCTCCTGATGACCAGCCCTCCACCTCTGCTCCAGTCACCTGCCAGGCCCCCCTGCACGCAAAGGAGCTGTTCTCAGAGCCTCTCCATCCTACAGCGCAGTCTCTAAACAGCCTTCTAAACTCCAGGCCCAGCGAAACTCCCCACCAAGCATCTCCACGAAGCATCTCTGGTGGTCTCCAATCTGCCCTCCGTGAGCTTGGAGGGGAAGGGAAGAGGCGGTAGGGCACAGAAGCAGACAGGGGAGCCAAGTGAAGTGCAGGAGCCCAGTTGGGGTTTCAGGGCTTTCCTGCTGCAGGAAAAGCAGAGCAACTAACCAGCCCCCGGGCCTGAGGGACGCCCCTTTCCTGGGGTTGCATATGTGCTTTAGCTAAGCCACCTGGACCACATTCTCAACGAGTTTTTCTTTTCTGCCTGTTAGTGTCTGTGAGGCTGATCCATGGAAGGGCCACGTCCACAGGTCCCTGGTTTCATTGTGACATCCCAGACCTACCAGTGCTTCCACATCTGCCCAATAGTCCTCCTGTCAGGGAGGTAGAGGGAGGCGGATTGGAACCTCACTAGAGCCAATTTAACTCAATGTTAATAAACGTTAGGGCATTATTTTTAATATCAATACTTAGCTAAGCTAGAGAAGATAGTACAAAATTCACATATGCTTTGGAGAATATTAAAATGACAAGCTTCTCATCAGAGGTTGCCGTGGGCTCCCCAGGGAACGCTCCCCTCTCCCTGCCCTGTGGATCGCATGAAGTTTGCACAGAGCTGCGGGTGGGTTACGTTCGGTCAAGGTGTGCGGATTCGTAATGTAAAAAAAAAAAAACCTTATTACGATCCTCCCCGCCAAAAGGGGCAGTAAAGCCGATTGCCCCCGGTTCTGGCGCAGAAATGAAAGCCGCCGCCGCCCCACGCAACTTTCGGGGAACAACTCCGGTCTCGGGAGGCGCAAGAGCCCCTGCGCGCTGCCTGCAGCCACCTGTCCCGGTGATCGCCCCACCCTCCGCTCGCGCGTTCCTTCTCGCGAGTCCTACCATGTCCCCGGCGGTGGCCAGGCCCGCTCCTCGGCGCGCTCAGCCGGCCCGCAGACTCATCCCGCCTCCCCTTGGCCGTCCCCGGCGCCGTGGCTCGCCGGGCTCCCCGGGACGCGCGGCTACTCGGCTGGGACGGGTTTCCTGGACTGAAGGTCCACACCTTCCCAGCACCCAAGCGTCCCAGCACCCAAGCGTCCCCGCGCCAACTCCCGTGAGATCGCTGCGCGCCGGGATGCTCCGCGGGTGGGGACTGCACGGGGATCTGCGGGAGCCTACCCGCGGCCGCGAGCCTCTGCGGTCTACTGGGGACGTTAGCCTAGTTTGCAAAGTCCCTGCCGCGCGTCCCGGCCCAGCCTCCCCACTCCCCCGAAAGCACGGGAGGGGGAGCTCCTTTCACAATAAAAGCCCTGCCGGGGGCTCCGCCAGCCTCAGTCTTCTGGAGGAGGGGCCCAGGTGCTAGGAAGGAACGGTCCCCGCTCGGCCTGCCCTCCTGCCTGGTGAGGGGCGCCTCTCAGGTGTGAGGGTGCTCGGTGAGCCTACTGCAACTCGGCGATATAGCTGACTGTTGCCCAAACTGCCACCCTCTCCTGCCAAGCCTCAGAAAGACAAGTCTTTTTTTACTGTCACTTCTTCGCTTTGTTTGGGTTCAGTCCCCAAGGGGATTTGGAAAGAAAATCCGTTGACCACTAAGTTCATTAACAATGAAGAGTTTTTGTCCTTGAGAACTAATCACTGTTAGAGTCACTGAAGTAAGTGGCTGATACTGCCTCTCCGCATCGGAGCACACAGTGCCTTTGTTCCCCTGATCACCTACTGCCAACATTGGCACAGTCAGAGCAGGACCTGAGAGTCTATATGCTCGTCGTTGGGGAGTGTCCTGGGCTTAGGGGGTCTGTAGTCCCAAAATCAGGGCTGGCCCCATTATTAACAGCTGGGTCAGCATAGACCAGTCCCCACACATCTTTATGACTTGTGTCCTTCAGTAGCAACGTTTGCACCCCAGGATTCTTAAGAGCCTGTAGGCAGTGGAGGCAGAGTCAGCAGTAGGGTGCCCTGAGAGAATCTGGGGGCCAGGCTGAAAAAGTCTCCAACATTGAAACCTCCCAGAGGCTTCACATCTCCTCCAGTGTAACGTGCCACATCTTACAGGGGCCTACAAGTCCTTTCACACTTTGGCCCTCACTGTTTCTCTAACATTATCTCTGCATTATCTCTGCACGTTCTCTCTCACGCACTGTGTGTGCTCCAGGACACACTCACCTTCTTATTGTTCCTTGCTTACTATAGGCACGATCCCACCTCAGGACCTTTGCACATGTTATCCCTCTCCCTGGAATGCCCCAGATATCCCCATGGTTTGCTCCCTCATCTCCTTCAGGTCTTTGCCCCAGTGTCACCTCTTCAATGAAGCCTTCCCTGACCACTCTATTTAAAATTGCACACTCCATCCCTCTTCTCTTCCACCTTGTAATTTTTTTTTCCTGAACTAGGCAACTTCTTGGATGCTATATAAAAGGATTTTAGATTCAGATAGCCAATAAATCCCTCCCTTCTAGGAAACAACACTTTATGTTCTGTTACTTTCCAAATTTTGGCTGATTGGTGGTTGGCTGCTCCCAGGTTGTTGGCAGGGCCTCTGGTTACACTGCAGATCTTGCAAGTAGGAAACATTCAACTCACTCAACTGAGATAGATTTGTGCTAGAGAGGAATATTTTATTATTTTCATGAGAGGGTGCTTCCAAGTTCATTAGGAGTGAGTCTATCTTTCACCAGTTAGAAGGAGATTTCCAACTTCCTCTAAGAATGTTTTAGGGTTTCTTATAAATTGGTACCCCAGGCAGCTGCCCAACAGGTCCACTCTTTAATGAGATTCATTGTCTAGCTCCATTCCAGACTTACTGAATCAAACTTTCCAAGGCTTGAGTGTCTTTATATTTTTTAAGCATAGCCAGGGCTAAGAACTGATGACCTAAGTAATTCCTCTTCCTTGGCTCCCATACCTAAATGGCCTTGCTAAATGATTCTGGAATCTTTCCCCTCCTCACAGCCAGTTCTTTGGCTCAAACTTTTGTCGTCACTTACAGCACTCTCAGAAACTCAACTAGCATCTCAGGCTCTACTTTTGCTTTCTCCAATCCACCCTGCATATCACTGACAAAATGTAAACATGGGCCTGCCACTGACCTGTTCCACATAACTCTCAGGGTTAAGTGCAAATTCCTGAGCTGCATGGCTTTCAGACTCTTTCAAGGTTTTATCTCTTATTACCTTTCCAGGCCTTTGACACACTCCTAAACCTTCTTCACACTCCTAAACCTTCCCTCCATCTCAAAGCCTTTTCTTGATACATTCCTATTTCCAACCAGACATACTTCCCTGCACTGATCCTTTCCATCCTGAAGGTCCAGCAATGCATGTCCCCTCAAGTTCTCTGTTGCAAATATTATCTCCTTGTGGCTCTCACTCCCTAAAGAACCATTCCGGGCCTTCTATCTCCATCTTCCTGATGCCAAGTAGCTACTCAGTAAATGCTTCTGAATAAAGGAATGAGACAGAAGACTGAGGTTCAAAACTGAATCTACCACTCACAAAGCATAGGTCCTGAGCAAAGCCACTTTCTCTCCACTGGCTTCATGTTCCTCATCTGACAAATAAGAACCATCATCCCAGCCAAGCCTAACTCCCTGGATTCCTGCAACCATGTAATGTGCTCATGTAAGTTACATCATCCAGAACTGGACTTTTCTCATGGCAAACTTTCAAAAACATTTACTGAATCCAAGAATGATGAAGGAGAAGAAAACTTCTTTTGCAGCAGAGAATGTTAGCATCCAGTTTACATTCTCTTTTTTTCATTCACTGAACTCCTACATTTTAAGGGGCAGCAGTATACTTGGCCAAAATATATATTTCACAACCTCCCTTGCAAAAAGGAACAGCCAATAAGAAGCAAATGAAAGTCATTGGTGGGGCCCACAGAAACATTTGAAAGGGGGCTGGGGTAATTTACATTATCGTTCAGCAAATATTCACTCCCTGTATTAGTCTGTTTCATGTTGCTGATAAAGACATACCCAAGACTGGGCAATTTACCACACGAAGAGGTTTCATGGACTTAAAGTTCCACATGGCTGGGGTGGCCTCACAATCATGACAGAAGGCAAGGAAGAGCAAGTCACATCTTATATGGATGGTAGCAGGCAAACTGAGAGAGAGAGACCTTGTGCAGGGAAACTATGCCTTATAAAGCCATCAGATCTCATGAGACTTATTCACTATCATGAGAACAGCAGGGAAAAGATCTGTTCCCATGATTCCATTACCTCCCACAGGGTTCCTCCCACAACATGTGGGAATTCAAGATGAGATTTGGGTGGGGACAGAGCCAAACCATATTAGTCCTCCCTGGCCCCTCCCAAATCTCATGTCCTCACATTTCAAAACAAATCATGCCTTTCCAACAGCCCCCCAAAGTCTTAACTCATTTCAGCATTAACTAAAAAGTCCACAGTTCAACATCTCATCTGAGACAAAGCAAGTCCCTTCTGCCTATGAGCCTGTAAATCAATAGCAAGTCAGTTATTTCCTAGATACAATGGGTGTACAGGCATTGGGTAAATACAGCCATTCCAAATGGGAGAAATTGGCCAAAACAAAGGGGCTACAGGCCCCATGTAAATCCAGCAGGGAAGTCAAATGTTAAAGTTCCAAAATTGTCTCCTTTGACTCCATGTGTCACATCCAGGTAATGCTGATGCAAAAGGTGGGTTTCCCATGACTTTGGGCAGCTGCACCTCTGTGGCTTTTCAAGATATAGCCCCCTCCTGGCTGCTTTCATAGGCTGGCGTGGAGTGTCTGTGGCTTTTCCAGGTTCATGATGCAAGCTGTCAGTGGCCCTACCATTCTGGGATCTGGAGGATGGTGGTCCGCTTCTCACAGCTCCACTAGGTGGTGCCCCAGTAGGAGTTCTCTGTGGGGACTCCCACCCCATATTTCCCTTCCACATTGCCCTAGAAGAGATTCTCCAAGAGGGTCCCGCCCCTGCAGCAAGCTTCTGCCTGGATATCCAGGCGTTTCCATACAGCCTCTGAAATCTAGGCAGAGGTTCCCAAACCCCCAATTTATGACTTCTGTGCACTCTCAGGCTCAACACCACATGGAAGCTGCCAAGACTTGGGGCTTGCACCCTCTGAAGCCACAGCCTGAGCTGTATATTGGCCCCTTTCAGCCATGACTAGAACAGCTGAAATGCAGTGCACTGAGTCCATAGGCTGCACACAGCATGGGGTCCCTGGGCCCGGCCCATGAAACCACTTTTTCCTCCTAGGCCTCTGGGCCTGTGATGGGAGAGGATGCTGTGAAGATCTCTGGCATGCCCTGGAGACATTTTCTTCATTGTCTTGGGAATAAACATTCAGCTCCTTGTTACTTATGCAAATTTCTGCAGCTGGCTTGAATTTCTCCTCAGAAAATGGGATTTTCTTTTCTCTCCTATTATCAAGCTGCAAATGTTCCAACTTTTATGCTCTGCATCCCTTATAAAACTGCTTTTAATAACACCCAAGGCACCTCTTGAATGCTTTGCTGCTTAGAAATTTCTTCTGCCAGATACCCTAAATCATCTCTCTCTCAAGTTCAAAGTTCCACAAATCTCTAGGCAGGGGCAAAATGCTGCCAGTCTCTTTGCTAAAACATAGGAAGAGTCATCTTTGCTCCAGTTCCCAAAAAGTTCCTCATCTCCATCTGAGACCACCTCAGCCTGGACCTCATTGTCCATATCACTATCAGCATTTTGGGCAAAGCCCAACATTCAACAAATCTGTAGGAAGATTTAACAAATTTCTAGGAAGTTCCAAACTTTCCCACATTTTCCTATCTTCTTCTGAGCCCTCCAAACTGTTCCAACCTCTTCCTGTTACCCAGTTCCAAAGTCGCTTCCACATTTTCAGATATCTTTTCAGCAGCACCCAACTCTACTTCTACCAATTTAGTGTATTAGCCATTTTCACATTGCTGATAAAGACATACCTGAGAATGGGAAGAAAAAGAGGTTTAATTGGATTTACAGTTCCACATGGCTGGGGAGGCCTCAGAATCATGGCAAGAGAAATGAGAATGATACAAAAGTGGAAACCCCTGATAAAACCATCAGATCTCATGAGACTTCTTCACTATCAGGAGGACAGCATGGGAAAGATCTACTCCCATGATTCAATTATCTTCCACAGAGTCCCTCCCACAACATGTGGGAATTCAAGATGAAATCTGGGTGGGGACACAGCCAAATCATTTTACTTTCTTTCCCTCAGCTATGAGCAGGGCATGTATCTTTGCTGCACTGTTGT